CTAGCTGTACTATTCGAGGAGCTAGAAGGTGTTAAATATAATATAATTTGGCTCAGTGAGATTAGGAGGACAGATGAGGCTTATACGGTGCTACAGAATGGGCACGTCCTTTGCTATCGGGGCTTAGCTGACAGAAGAGAACTGGGAGTGGGGTTCCTAATTCACAGAAACATAGCTGGCAACATAGAGGAATACTATAGCATTAATGAAAGGGTGGTAGGTAATTAAACTGAATAAAAGATACAAGATGAACGTGGTACAGGCTTACGAGCCTACATCCAGCCATGATGACGCTTTAGTTGAAAGCTTCTATGAAGACGTGGAATCGGCAATAAGTAAGGTAAAAATGCAGTATACAATACTGATGGGATACTTTATGCAAAGGTAGGAAAGAAGCAGGCTGGAGACCAGGCAGTAGGAGATTATGGCATCGATACTAGAAACGCCAGAGGAGAGCTACTAGTAGAATTCGCAGAACGCAATAATTTACGAATTTTGAATACCTTCTACTGAAAACGAGGAAACCGCAAGTGGACATGAAGGAGCCCTAATGGCGAAAATAAGAACGAAATAGACTTTATAATGAGTGCACACCCAGGCATTGTGCAGGATGTGGAAGTGGTCGGCAAGGTACGATGCAGTGACCATAGAATGGTACGGTCTCGAATTCGCCTAGACTTGAAGAAGGAACGACAGAACTTGATACGCAAGAAGCCAATCAATGAGCTAGCGCTGAGAGGGAAAGTACAGGAATTCAGAGTCTCACTTCAAAACAGGTACTCGGCTCTCAGTGAGGAAACCAACCTTAGCGTAGATACAATGAATGATAATCTGACGAGTATCATTATGGAGTGTGCAGTGGAAGTTGCAGGCAGGGTAGTTAGACAGGACACTGGCAAGCTTTCACAGGAAACGAAAAACCTAATTAAGAAGCGTCAAATCATGAAAGTGTCAAGTACAACAGACAAAATAGAACTGGCAGAGCTTTCGAAGTTGATTAATAGAGGTAAAGTATGCGATGTAAGAAGGTATAACATGGAGAGAATTGAACACGCTCTGAAAAACGGAGGTAGCGTCAAAGCAGTGAAGAGGAAACTAGGGATAGGCAAAATTTGGATGTGTGCACTAAGGGACAAAGAAGGCAAAATAACTACCAATATGGATAGGATTGTTAAAATAGCGGAGGATTTTTACAGAGATCTGTACAGTAGCCAGGACAACCTCGACCTTAATACTATAAGAACTAGCAGTAACCCAAATGACACCCCACCAGTAATGATAGAAGAAGTCAGAAAAGCTTTCAAGAGCATGCAAAGAGGCAAAGCTGCTGGTGAGGATCAGGTAACATCAGACCTGCTCAAAGATGGAGGACAGATTGTGTTAGAAAAACTAGCCACCCTGTTTACGAGGTGTCTCCTGACGGGAAGAGTACCAGAGTCTTGGAAGAACGCTAACATCATCTTAATACATAAGAAAGGAGATGACAAGGACTTGAATAATTACAGGCCGATCAGCTTGCTCTCTGTAGTATACAAGCTATTTACAAAGGTAATTGCTAACAGAGTAAATAAAACATTAGAATTCAATCAACCAAAGGAACAAGCAGGATTTCGAACAGGCTACTCAACAATCGACCACATTCATACTATCAATCAAGTATTAGAGAAATGCTCAGAATATAACCAACCACTATACATAGCCTTCATAGATTACGAGAAGGCGTTTGATTCAGTAGAAATGTCAGCCGTCATGCAGACACTGCGGAATCAGGGCGTCGATGAAGTATATATAAACATCCTGGAGGAAATCTACAGGGGATCAACTGCTACCATAGTGCTTTATAAAGAAAGCAACAGAATACCAATCACCAAGGGTGTAAGGCAGGGGGACACAATCTCCCCAATGCTATTTACCGCGTGCTTACAGGAGGTTTTCAGAAGCCTAGAATGGGAACAGTTAGGGATAAGAATTAATGGAGGGTACTTTAGTAACCTGCGCTTCGCCGATGACATTGAATTGCTGAGTAACTCAGGGGACCAATTGCAACTCATGATTACGGAGTGAGACAAGGAGAGCAGAAAGGTGGGTCTTAAAATTAATCTGCAGGAAACGAAAGTAATGTACAACAACCTCGGAAGAGAGCAGCGCTTCGAGATAGGTATTAGTGCACTTCAAGTTGTAAAAGACTATGTCTACTTAGGGCAGGTAATAACTATGGAGTCGAAACACGAGATTAAAGTAACTAGAAGAATAAGAATGGGGTAGAGCACATTTGGCAGGCACTCTCAAATTATGACAGGTAGATTGCCACTATCCCTCAAGAGGAAGGTATATATTAGCTGTATCTTGCCGGTACTTAGCTACGGAGCAGAAACCTGGAAACTTACAATGAGGGTTCAGCTTAAATTGAGGACGACGCAGCGAGCAATGGAAAAAAAAATGGTAGGCGTAACCTTAAGAGACAAGAAGAAAGCAGAGTCGCCACCTATGCAGATCCGAAGGCGCCACCTATGCGGAAGATTGCAGGCAACTCGCACGTTCCTTAACCGCACAAGATCAAGCGTACCAGAAGGACAGTCACGATGAAAACCTGCCCCCCCAGTCATATTCGCTTTGCACGTTGGTATGGATTCGCGTTCTCTCATCTGCTCCTGGTCTTTCCACCAAGCTACTGCTGAAGTATGAAGGCCCCTACCGAGTCCTACGTCAGTCCTCACCGGTTAACTATATTGTTGAGCTGGTTCAACCATCAACAGACCGACGCCGTCGCAGTCGCGAGACTGTCCATGTCGAACGAATGAAATCGCACTACGACCCACACATCCTACCTGGTCCATAGGTCACCAGGATGGCTCCTTTTCTGGAGGGGGGGGGGGGGGGGGAGGGAGTGATTTGTAGCATTGATATATGGCACAGGCAGGAGCACCAGTGAAAGAAGAGAAGGAAGAGGGTTGTTGCTGCTCGCGCTCACCCCGCTTGAAAGCTGGTCGGCTTTACCTGTGTGTTTCCCCCAATAAAAGTGTCTTCGGCTCACTGCTAAAGGTGTGCTAACACAGTGTTTTTTGTATTATTGCTGTATCGTAATTTATTCATTGTACTTCCTTGCATTATTGTTGTACCTTCATTTTTAGTTGAAGCATCAGGACGATGCCTTTTTCAGAGGAGGGCAATGCCGCGTTCCATTCCTCAAGTTTTGTTATCGCCCCAAAACACTGCACAATTCTCAGCGCAAACTGCGCCTGCAGTTTTCGAGAAGCTTCAGGACTGTAGTAGATCATTTCGATAAGATCTTGCCCACTTCGCAAACTGTACAGATTATTCTGGAACCTACGTCACCGCCAGCGATAACGCTAGAACATTCGATGGCAAGAGTATAAATGCCGACGCACTTTGCCGCTTGTCAGTAGTTGATCGACGGCTGACGCTCCGTTCACTGCTATCTGTGTAAGACTGCTACTGTAATCAGACTTTCCGTTTACCGGGCACAGGTTCGCCCAAATAAACAGTTGAATCCCAACATAAAGTCTCCTGTCTTCGGCCACGTCACGACCCTATCACAATATACAACATTCGATTCTCTGTTTGAAAGTTTTGAATATTCACGCACCTATACAGCAGGGTGTTGGTTGTCAGTAATCTGAGCGCCAGTGCAATATATATTTTCACTTCTCAAGCATGAACCACCACCCAGCATAACTTTCACTTCTAATACAGTAGCTATCAAACCTATCGTTGGATGCTAGTGTAATCTCAACACCAACTCAAACAATCACGATGCTTTTAAAATATTGCCTTACATTCTGGGCTGAGTGTCTTGCTCACAGTCTTCGTGGATGAAACACAAGTGAAAACATTAATCACAAAAGCTTTGATTAAGTCAATATGTACAGTCGCAACCTATTTAAAATTGAACAAAAGGGCGTGTGGCTTTCGGTACTACTAGTGGCGCCATTAGGCAACACATCACAGTATCTGCGCCCATACGCGAGAAGGGTAGCCTCCCTTCATGCGATCTGAGCACATCATCGCAGTGCTCGTGTGTCGTTTGCTAGCAGACTTTCCGCCTACCTAATGATCGCATTATGATGTCAACTAAAATTTGGATACTTCCAGTTCAAATGGCATGTTTCTCATTGGCTGCCGTGTCACTTGTTTTTTTTTCTTTTTCCTGCATTTTTGTAGTCGTACAAAGAACAACCGAACTGTTATTTGATACACAACTCACAGAAGATTGCTACCTTTAAGGCAGTCATATAAGTAATATGAAATAGGTTTGGTCGATCTTACATGAGTATTTTGTCATATCCCCCCTATCCCCCCTTCGAAAACAATATCAGTACTATCATTCTGGAGAGTAGTGAAGAGTGCGATGCTGGCACAAAGTTGCGATGCGCTTGAAGATCCTACAAGAAGTATTAGATGAACCGTGAGTTCGTCCGCAGTCAATGCGTAAACAGGGTGGCGTAACATGGCTGACTTTATGTGTATTTCCACATATTTTCACAAATGCTCATGCTTGCCATAAAAGCATTGCAATCCAGCAATTTTCTATGTGCTCGTTCATACCTTTTGTCCTGTGCACCAGTGCCAAATCAAGCTCGAACTTAAAATGTAGATCTGGGAAAGCGACAGATCAACAATCATCTTGAAAACGCCAGCAAAGCATAACATATTTTCAAATTTATTCGTGAATCATGTGGAACATGATTGGCACAAGGCTTCCCTACTACTGTGTGTGTGCAGCAGACGACACACGCTAGCTTGCCTGACCCCGTGTTCACTTTATAAAAGATTATGACTGTACGTAAAAAAGCTGCGTGTCTTGGCCCACAGTAGTGATTTCCATCAGCAGATTGAAGGAAACTGACTGCAATGAATGCACAATTCGTCACAGTATGCCCTGCATGACGACCAATCAATGTGTATGTGCTGTGTCCAACATGTAGACCTTCGCACAGTTGAACACTCAAGGTTGCAAAATTCCATTCAGCGGTACTCACCACGAAGCCCAGGGCCAGTAGTGCATGCAGTGCAAACACAACAGCCGACGTGATGAAGGCCATCTGCAAAAATCAGAACACGACCTGGGAGCTTCCAGTAAGGCTTTTGCTTCTTGCATTGTTAAAACAACTAAAAAGCGATCATGAATGAACAGGCATGAGCACATATTTTCTTACTCTACAGACTATAATATGAAAAATACACAGCCACTTTTATTTATGACTCAGACATTGTTTTTTAGCTTGACATACACCCTTCACATTAAGACAGCGCTTCTTTATTATTGCAGTGGCAACAATAAAATGTTAAATTTTAAAGAGTTTGCAGTGCAAGCACGAAGTATTGTTAAAAAAAAAAAGGATGCACAATAACGTCCCTCTCTGGTGTCTTCACTCAATTTTTTTCTTGATCTATTTTTGATTAAACTTGATGACTTCATGTATATTCATATGCCGATTTCAAATGAGCAAGTACTTCTGCAATATCATGTGAGGTTTTTAAAATACAATATATCTAACGTTTGCTAGTGAAATTTCAGATTGAAATTGACTCATTCAGGAATATTCAACACACTATAACTTTTGTTCAAATAGGTTTTAAACATCCATTTTTGTTGTACTGCACACTGTTCTGATTGCAGGTTATTGTGATATGCTAATCCACTTTGTAATGAACTAAGTTTAGAAAAAATCTTGCTCCCCATATGGCCTATGAGCTACTTTGTATTTTGAAAACTATCCATTGTAATAAAGTATCATTGCATACTTTAAATCAGCATATAAATATTTTTAAGATAACAAAGTTCCATTAAAATCAATCCAAAAATAAAGACATTTTGAGCAGAGTCCTCATTAACATGACATTAGGCTATGAAAATGAGGGAGCTTTCAATAAAAAAATGTGGCGATCCCAACAGGGCTTTATCGGTATGTTAGCTGCAATTTCTCACTTGGCATGACCTGGACATGGCATGTCTCGGATGACACAATTTCTGGAATTCCAAGTCCCTCCCTGTTAGCAAGCACACAGTGTAAGAATAATATTATTTGATGGAGTATGATGTTCCAAAACCACCATATATTTACGAGAGATGCCGTAGTCCATAAATGTAACCTAAATCAAGTACACGGGCCTCGAGCATCTTTCATTGCTTAGCACCATAACAGCATAGTGCGCCCTTACCTTGCGGGAGTCCTCTCTGAAGGAAGGCCACAGCGTGGTGACCAGGACGCAGCCCGAAAGTGAAGCACCCACGACCACCAGCATCCACCGTAGCCACGTCAGGTGCACTGCCCACAGGATCTGGACACACCAAGGGCAAACACAAATCGACAACCGGCAGCGTATAGGCAGCAGGAATGTGCAATTAGCGGGAACGCTGCAATTCATGAACTTAGAGGTCTGTTAGAAAAGTATATGACCTTTAGTGGAAGGAAGAAAACTGGCATAACTAGGGCATTGTAAACCTATTCACCCTCGAAGTAGTCCCCTTGGGACTCCACAAACTTCTCCCAGTGGTGCTTGCCATTGTTGGAAGCATTCTAAGAAGGCCTCTTTCGAAATGAAGTTTAGCTCAGCTGTCTTTGCAACCATAATGTTCTCCCTTGTCTGAAATCGCTCTCTTTTCAATGTCCTCTTGAGTTCGGGAAACATCCACAAGTCGCAGGGGGGCCATATCAGGAGAGTAAAGAGTCTGTTGAACTACAGGAGTCTGACTTTTCGCCAAAAAAGTCTGAACCAAGTGTCAGGATTATGAGCAGCATTGTCCTGGTGGATGCACCAGTTTTCTATCGAGCACAACTCAGGTCTCTTGCGCCACACAGCATCACGTAGGTGACGGAGGACATCCCTGTAGTACTCTTTGGTGACTGCTTGATCCTTTGGTGCGTACTCCTGGTGTACTACACTGCGGGAGTCAAAGAAAGCACTCAGCATCATTTTGACATTGCTGCACACTTGGCGGGCTTTCTCTGGTCTTGATGATGTGGAATGCTACCACTGTGACGACTGGGATTCTGTTCCGTGGTCGCCATAAACCGAACACTTGTCACCAGTGATAATGATGTTCATGAAGTTAGGGTCACTGTTTCGGAAATTCAGCATGTCTGTGGTAAAAAAACGCTGCCCTGGAGAGTGTGCGTCATGCTTTGATGTAGAAAATCGGTGTGCGGGGCCGATTTAGTATTTCAAGGTGCGCGGGAATCATCATGATGGTGATAGCGGTAAAACTATGAGCGCGCCTATGCGCGTACCACGTGAAAAGCTCCCAAGCCACGGGGACAGCTCGGCTAACCCCAGAGAGCAGAGAGCAAGGACAAGTTCGGGCCACGCCCCGGCTGACCGTTCTGACCCTTTGTGTCCGGGCCTAGTCTCGGCGTTGAAGTCCTCGGGTGCGTCCTGGACTGGGCATCGCCCCACCTCGCCCCCACGTTGGTCTGAAGCGGCGTTCGTCACGGCCAGCTGCTGTTCTGGTCTCGGAGCGAGACGCTGTCCCAGGTCTGTTCGCGGCAGACGGGCGGTACGCTGTTCTCGGTGGTGTACAGGCAAGCCCAGGCGTTGACCACCGTACTGGGATGGCCCTGGCGGTTATCTTCTAGACCGGGCCCCGCCTCGGTACGAACTCCGCAAGCACAAGGCACACCGCCTCCTGACTACCAGAGAGCTCAAGGTCAAGCGCAACGTTCACGCCCCAAGAGTAGAATGTGAGTGAACGAACAAGGACATTAACTCCCTTTCGCGTAGGACCGTGAACGCGTGTATATCTGTGTGAGTTTATGTTGTGTGTATCCCTTTGTCCGTTTTCGTGTATATAAAAGTCTCTTGTTGTCCTCGAACGTCCTCTGTCCTCATCTGGCTAACCTATGCCCACAGTTTCCCACAATGTCCTGCGAGACTTCAACGCGAACATGCTTTTGCTCCACTGTGAGCAGTTCTGGCACGAATTTCGTAGCAACTCTGTTCGTGGCCTAATCTTCGGTCATAATGGAATGTGCCACATAGTCACACGAAGGTCCCGCATCACCAGAGTGTTCTCTTCAGCAATGACCTGGTCATTTCGGCATGTTGATGGCCAACCGGAGCATGGCTTGCTTTCCACCGATGTGTGGCCACCTTTAAACCAGTTGTACCACTCCTTAATTTGTGTGCGGCTCATAGCGTAGTGACCGAAAGCCGTCTTGATCTTTCCAATATTTACCACTTTGCTGTCGCCCAGTTTCTGACAAAATTTGATGCAGTAGCGCTGCTCCAGTCGCTCCGTCATTTTCCTTGCAATGAAACACCGATGAGAGCACTGCACAATCAAGCGCTGCGTCCCAACGACTGACGCTATTGGCAGGTGGAAAAATATTCACACCTGCGCACGAAGGTTAAGATTGGCTGATGCAAGTGCGCTTGTTTCAAATCCATCAGGTGCTCGCAAAAAAAGAGAAAAAATCGGATACTTTTCTGATAGACCTCGTATAGAAAAGTCACAGTTTTTATATGAAACTCGCTGAGAACAACATGTAGTCTTTTAAATCTATGTGCCATTTTGGAAACCATAGTTTCCCTATTCTGAGAGAGTTGAAAAGTGATTAAGCACACCAGAATGACCTGCAATGAGTATAAAATGCAGCAAAACAATAACAGATGTTCTAAATTTATTTGAATAATACTTGTGGTACGTTAATATTTGTGGCTAAAATCTGAGCTTGACATATACTCATTGGTGAATGTTTGACATAGTACTGTAAATTTTGTTGAAATGTGTTCAGAACATTCATTCTTACTTTTTTCTATTCTGTGCTCATTCCCGGTCATTCTGGTATGCTTAATTACTTATGCTTAATCTGTATACATTTCTGGTCATTCTGATGTGCTCAATTACGTGGTATTTGTACTCATTCCAGATTATCCTGGTGTGTTCAATTAATTTGTAACTATTTCAGTTAAGCCAAACTATGGCTCCCAAAAAGTATATGAAATGTCTGATAGTCTAAGAACTACATAATATGCAACAAAAATAAATGCATTTTTGAAATCTGCACACAATTGCACATAAACTCTGAAAGATTTGTTTTGATAGGTAAAAAACTAAAATGAAACAATTTTAGGGCCTATGTTACCCTTTAGGGTCAATATGACATTATGTAGCACAATTATCATGCGCTCTATGTGTTCATAACATTCCTCAGGCCCATAAGACAGTGCAAAATAATGCAGTAGCCATTTGAAAGGATGCAGGAGAAAATTACAGTGCCAGCAGCCAAGGACCAAAGGAAGACACACACACTACGATAACTTTTGCAGTTTATAGACATCATGCCTAGCAGCAAAACTGAATGATATGCGCTCTTTCTGGAAAAAACACTACAGTATCAAAAAAGTTCATGCAATGCTTCATCGGTTTTTGTCACTGGAATGTGATCAAGCGTTTCAAGTGTTCCAAGTGATATTCAGTAAGCATTGATTTATGATGATGAAGTAAGTGCAAGGAGGAAGAAGAGCAATATGCCATAGTGGGCCACTACCTTAGCCTGAAGAGCCGAGGGCGAGCAGTTGTGATCCGCGCTGCGATTCGTGTGTAGGCTGTCGCCGCCCACTATCAGCGTCCATAAGCCTCCTGCTCAAGTGCTATACTTGCATGAATAAATCCCTTTTTAGAGGGGTGGAGGTGCAGGGTATTCAACCTGGAACTCCTTAACAGGAGACTGCCGGCTCCTTCGGAAATGGCCGACAAAAACACCCAGCCAGAAGCCATGACCCAGACTCGGCCTCTGATGGTCATTGTGCCTACTGCGCTACACGTGCTCGATCCACCTTTCTTCAATGGCACCGATGAACAAGAAGTCAATGATTGGCTTTGACCTTTGAAGAGGTAAGCACGAGCAACAAGTGACCCTTTGAAATTGCAGTATGTTACCTTTTGCCTGAAAGAAGTCGCGAGCTTCTGATTCAACAACCACCAGTCTGAATCGCACACTTAGAGTGCTTTTAAGCAACAAATTGTCTATTTCTTTGGCAGCCCCGTGGTACACAAGCTCCGTGCTGAATAGTGCCTGCGGGGGCAGCTGTAGATAAAAGGCTTCACAATCTACATCGAAGATGTGCTCGACTTGTCCAAGTGCCTTAATCTTTCGATGGCCGAGGCAGAGAAAATTCGACACATCTTGAAAAGCGTAGACAATGACGCCTTCCAGATGCTGCTGACCAAGGACCCACGTACCATGTCTGAACTGGCCACTCTGTGCCAGAGCTTCGAGGAGCTGCGAAAACAACAGGTCTTGACACGGTGTCCAGCGACTAAAGATGAAACTCTCATGGCATTGACCCTCGGTGGTGAACAAGAAACACTATTGTCAAAAATCAAGCGACTCGTTTGCGAGAAAGTTGCTCAACAGCGCTCGTGCCCGTCTTATTAACCAAAAGCGCAACCCACTACCGAGCGTCTCGCACCTGCCATCCGACAGGTCATACAGGAGCAGGTCTTCGAGGCACTGCAGTCCGCCTCTCAGGCAACCCTTGTCGCCGCACCCCTAACTTACGCGGCCGTTGCTGCAAGCCCACTGCGACCACTACCTTTGTCGACGTCTCAACCTTTGCGAGTGCCAACGATGCCTGGTACACAGCAGCGCCACGAAAAACCTTGACGCAGAGCTTAAATTAAACGTCCCATTTGTTACGCGTGCGGGTATCCAGGCCAGGCGGTGCGCTTCTGTCATCGGCGCTTCGCAGCAACCTCAGCTGCAAGATATAAGGACTACTCATACCGGGCCTCATATGACGTACAACAAAGACTGCCACCTCGACATGACTGACTGCTAGCTGACCGTGACCTGCTACGACACACTTCCCAGTACTGACCGTCCGCTTCTTTGTCGTTTGCCCTCACCCCAGTGCAGTTCTCTTTCACTCCTGCATCGCTGACCAAGCCTGCATGAAAAAGAAAAAACTAATTTCTGCAGCTCCGAAGGCATAATCTGCGTCGTCATCCGACTGTGTAAAACCTGTAAAGCGGCATTTATTTCAGCAAGGCCAATGAGAAAATTATCGGTAAACTCGCATAATATTTTTTGGCACAGTAGCAGGCATACACTTTCATTCTGTAGCTTTCACAGTGCTATCAAGTTGTCATCGAGTGTAGGTGGTGGGGTTTGTTCAGATCATGCAAAGCAGTACTAACCGAGATTGGCACATAGACTGCGAGGGAGTAGCCGTACAGGCAAAGTGTCTCCAGCAGGGAGTACCGCGACTCCACCTGGCGGTACTTCAGCACCGCCCACAGCACAAGTGGCACCACGAACATGTACACCAATATCGCTGTCGATGCAAATGACACTGCACCAAGGAAGTACATTGACAAAACATAAGTACATCTTGTGCACCAAGGAAGTACATTGACAAAACATAAGTACATCTTGCATGACAATGAATGAGTTCATCTACCTCACATGACAAAGTGTAAGTACATCTTCTTCATGTGACAAATCATGAGTACATCTCTCCCACAGAACAGCAGACTTAAGGGGGTGCGATAACGTTATCACCGAAAATTTCGTTTCAATAAAAGCCCAGCGAAATTCCATAAAAAGAACTCTCATGTCTTCCTGACGACAATGCAAATGAACCAATAAAATATGCTGCAGCCAGCTGTTGCAAACTAACATGTCAAGGCGTTGTTTGGGGTCAGCTAAAGACAGTGCCAAACTCACAGGATAAAAAAGACACAAAGTGTTTTGGAGTTCCTATAGTTCGCCTATGACTAGGATAGTGTGCTACTATACAATCAAATCCACATTAACAGCCCTACATAAAACGAACTTTTACTTGAACCGAGCGATACCAGCGTGACCGAGAAAATATACATTATTTCAATGGCACAAAATCGCACTTACAATGAATGTCTCTGAGCGTCGCCCATCAGTTACAGCGAACCAACGGAGTCGGCGCTCCAGCGAGTTCTCGGGAAACCACTTTACACAACCGATAAGCCATCAGCGAGGTGCCCATAGATTTTTATAAACACCGAATCTGCCTCAGCAAACCTTCAGCTGTCGCTCTCCCCGACCTCTTTTTGTTACACACCCCCTCCGTCCTTTGCCCCCCCCCCCCCCCCCCCCCCCTGCTACTCTGAGCACCACGCATCGCCAGACGAAGTTCGCGTTTCCACACAGCCAGTTTTTGATCGTTAGTTTTGTTACACTTTCGTTGGCGTCACATTGTCGCCCATCAACTCTGCCTGATCATCTGTGTCTGTATCATGCCTTCATCAGTGTCATATCGTTCCAGTGCACGTGCTTGCGCTACCCCTCCCGACTGAGAATTCATGATTTGTTCCGTGTTTAAGGCTCGTTCTCGCTCACTTTGCACTCGGCTCAGCATTCGCTCTGCACGCATTTGGAAGCGTAAACATGACTTTTACACAGAACAAATAGCGTATTATTCAAGTCGGCGGGACCATGCAAGTCCACTGGAGCCACAATGTGATTATTTGACCTCTGTGCGCACGAACAGCTCTCTCAAGTTTTTTTAAGCGTGAGTTATGCGCTTTGTGGACCCTGCAAAAAAGCTACGAGTTATGCACTTTGTGGACCCCTGCAAGGAAGCTACCTGACCTGCCTTCGGTTTTTAAGGTTGCCTTCCCATGGTATGCGCTCCCTTACTCATGCATCACTCTATCGCAAGTCTGCTTTTCTCTTTTTTTCGCAACTTCTTGATGCCAGCCGCCAGCCACGCTGTAGGTTTTTCTGCGCTGGTTTGAATTCAGACGTTTTGTTCTGGAACTAGAAATGGGTCGAGTGCAGTTTCAAGTATGCTGGCTTCTACGTTATGCGTGCACGTCGTTCTCGCTGTTGGTGTGCATGTGTGGTCAGGATGGCAGACGGCAGGCCATCCACTTTTTTTTCTGCTTTTAACAAAATGTCAAAAGGGTCACCACTTGGCTAGGACGTAATCGGTGCTTTTAAGACTTATTATAGGTGTTGCTATGTGGAAGCCCTTTCATACCTGCTGACTGGCTGGCAGCTAACTGGCCACTTCAGGTGTCCCTATATTCAGCTGTGGAGATGGTGAAGGCTTCGTGGGCGGACGGCTACATGTGTGCGAAACTGTATTCGCGAGGCTGACTTTGTTGACTTCTTATCTGATGCCGAGCCTGAAGCTTCAGAACAGGATCAATCCGGCGGCAAGCTTTGGCAGCACATCGTCAACTCCAACATTGGAGGGCATGCGGGGCATCTGTTGCAATGATTTCATTACGACCAATAATAATGCTGACATAGCGGAACCGTGCATGAATGAGGGCATTGTGAATGAAGCGCATGGCAAGAGCGAATGGAAAAAATCGGATTGCGAGGATGACAATACTTTGGAGCCAATGCTCACAAGCATGCTTGCAGCAATTGGCTACATTAATAGCCTCCGGCCGCTTATGCCACAGGCCTCGGCAAAGAGTAAGCTGCCGCTTTAAATAAACTCAAGAGCATCCTTCTGCTATTAGAAAAACGTGCATCAGGGAGCTTTTTGGGAAAAAAAAATTGTGTTTTCACTCGCAACGCTTTTTAAAGCTGTGTTTCATTTATTACGAACTTCGGGATTCAGCGAACGAATGCCGGGTCACACTTGGGTTCATTCTAAGCGGGCTCAACTATAGTCAAAAGGGAACCAAAGGAATGCCTAAATGCTTTGTGCCTTTTTACAAGTTTGTAGCCTTTAATCTACTACTGTGTCAGCCATGTACTTTCGAAGCTACAATTTTGCTAACAATGATCTCATCGGTGGCTGCAACTGTTTTGCGCACTCCAAACTGTAGTTCTGTTTTCAATTCTTGTGTGCTGGATACACATGTGCCTTCAGAACTATGTTGTTGCTGTCTATGATTGTGTCTCATGTAGTTTCGTCAACAAAGGTTATGGCCGGCAGCATCGATTTGATTCATTCTAAGAAGACTGGGCGTGCAAACACGGAGTTACCTTTCACATAGATTTCTACATGTGGCAGATTGATAGGTTCGCCTATTACATAAGAATTTGCAGGTAAGTTTTCATGCATTTTGCAAGTAAGTTTTCATGCAGGATCACGGGCTGGGATGCTGCAGTTGTCATTGTCACCACAGTAGAGGTCAAGGCCTTGGTCTTCTGCACCTTGTCTTGTAGAGGCCTGTGCTCCGGGGGTAGCCTTTGCTGCTGGCGGTTTGTTCGCAGCTCCTGGTTGGCGTAGGTGTCTTCCCCGTGACGTGGGCTGGGTTCACGGCTTGATGGGGGCGTCCAGTACATGAACGATGCAGCACCTCCGCCAGATGTCACGGGGTCGAGATGTGGTTAAAGGCAGGAGACGGAATGGTAAGATCAAACTGCTTATTTGGGTGAACCTGTGCCCCCTAAACGGAAAGCCGGGTTACGGTAGCACACTTGCACTGATAGCGGTGAATGCAGCGTCGGCCGTCGATCAACTGACAAGCGGCGAAGCGCGTCGGCATTTATACACTTGCCATCAAATGTTGTAGCGTTATCGCTAACGGTGACGTAGGTTTCAGAATAATCTGTACAGTTCGTGGAGTTGGCGTGATATTATTGAAATTATCTACTACAGTCCTGAAGCTTGTCGAAAACTGCAAGTGCGGTTTGCGTGTAGTGTATTGCGGCGATAACAAAACTTGAAAAAAGGAAACTGGCAGTATTCTACTCATATTTGAGATGTGGAATATTTGTACCTTCACCTGCTATTAACTACAGCAGAATTTTGGTTATATGAACCTGGCTGATACAATTTTTGATTTGATATGAATTAATAAAGTGCTGAACTGAATTTAATTGTGTCTGATGCACCAAAATCCAAATTCTCCAAACAAATTTCCACGTCACGATGGGTAATACAGACTTGGACACCAAAACCGTCGAGTGGCGCCTGACGGTGCTGTGCTCTGTAGCTTCCCGAAGTGTGTAATGCAGCATGTACACTCTGAGGAGCATTGTGCCACAGCACGAAAAATCTATGCAGCTATGAAGGGAAGACACACACAATCAGACACGGTTCACATACAGAAGCAGTATGAGCTAACATTAACATCGGAGCATCCAATCTGAGGATAATGATGTAGAGAGCAGCAGGATGGAATTATAAGTACGTCTTGCAGGCGTGGGGTATGACGCTGCTCACAGGTCGCAAGCTCCAGCTCTCTTATTTATGTGTAGTGCCACTGGTAAATTTGTTAGTTATAAAATAACATCTGAGCGGCCACATGATACCTCCAAGCCAAACGACGACATTTTTATAAAATGAAATGCAGTTTTTTTTTTTAAAGCTTGTGCTATATTCTCTATTTAAGCTTATTAAGATTCCCACGAAAATTATCTGTGCATGCCAATGCAATAGGCTAACCTACTAATTCGGTAGGCATGGGGGTCTATGTGAAAAGTAACTGTTAAGGCATTTGATCTGATCTTTACGCAAGTTAATCAACGGTTGGTACATGCATGTGTATTGTCAATATGCTATGCATAAACCACCAAATGCATATCATCATTCCTATGCTGGTACAAGACCCTGCATTCATCAAACACTCTGATAGCTATGTAAAGAAAGATTAAAAAATATAAACCTCTTTACATTGTCAAAAGTGTAGGTGCACATCAAAATTCAATGAATTCGCAGTATTATACCGGCACAGGAATAAAGAGTCTGAGGCATGGCATTTTGAGAATAGCAGAAGAGCATGCGTGAGCCAACTGGCACAAAGATGAAATCCAATGTGGTTATCTTTCATGTAGACGTGTGCTGGACTGATACGTTAGCCTATAGCATGGGCATGCACAGATAAGTTTTCCGGAGCCTACTTTCTGTTCTGCTACTGTGAAGCTCTTCAGTTATTGGTCCTTGTGTCTGTCTCTTTTTAGAATGAATAGCTCATCTCTCAGCTGTTCTAAGTGCTGTAATATTTGTATCACCTGTTAAAATAAGATTCAACTAGACTAATGCCGGTGTCACACGAGCAATTTTAATCACGATCAGAGTGATCCGGATCGGCTTGCATGATCGCGATCAACTTTACGACTACTGCTACATGTCCCAAGCTAATCCAGTTCGAGCTTGGGTCAGATGAAATGCACCAGGTGGTACTTGTGTGCCATAAAACATATCACTGACAAAACTCGGTGTACAATACTTCTATGAAGCCCTTTATTGGCAATGTTTTTCGTGGAATAACTGCTTGAATGTCAAAAACTTTGTGTACCCCCTCCCCCCCCCCCCCCTAGCGTACTTTCATAAATCCATCATTCGATAGAGTTTTCCTTGCACTTACTGTGTAAAATTCTTAACCTTTGCTTTTATTTATGATAGCATCTGCTCGTAGCTTTCCAGTCACAGCGAAGCGTCAATCTCGTTGTACGAGCCAGAGTTTCACTTCTGGAACCTCAAGTCTCCCAGTCGCTCCTGCCAGCGATGAATTGCTGTACAGGTCTCTTCATTGATCCACGAAGTGTGCGTACATTATGAAGTAGTCAAAAGGCTTGCGACACTCATAATCGGTTTGCTTTGAGGTGCTCCAATAGTGCGAGAGTTGAACTAAGCGCGGAAGGCAACGATCGACTGCTTGTCGTCTGCTTCTCCCATAAGTGCATGCGGCCGACACAAATCTTAAAATATACGATATTTCAGATATTGTTCCAATTGAAACAGTATAGAATTAGCTTTTTTATAAAGATCTAGCCGTTTTAAAGTGTTTTTATTGAACTATGCTCAATTTTATTGTTCATTGGGCTTTTAACAAGCTCGGTCAGGGGGTACAAACGACAACGAAATGACGATCTCTCAGGCAGATCGCGATGCAGGGATCGCAATTTGTTTTGATCCCGATCGCGCCTTATCGTGATTAAAAGTGACCGTGTAGAAGCACCTAATCCAGATTGTGATTAATCCAGATCGGCACTGTTCGTGCTTAAAAGCGCCCGTGTGACAGTGGTATAAGAAAATGTTGTAGGGCCCATTTAAGATGACAAGTCCTCTCGTTAAAACATCACTGAAGTGGCACTCTATGTTCCACACCACTTTACCCCTGAACGTTGTGTGGACTTATCCTTGAACACATTTTGGGGTGCATGCCCACCTCGTGTGTAGTCTGTGTGCCAGAAGTCCTTGGTCTGGCCAGCCGTCTCCAGGTAGCTAGCCACATTGCTGCTCACTGACGTGGTCACCACAAGTGTCAGGCCAACCCATATGGGCCCTGTACACACATGATTGCCTCTACAGCAACAACTCCAAACACAAGACACTGGAAGTGCAGATTTATAAAATTTGACAGTACAATGGCTAAGGGGAAAACTCACTGTGGAAAAACCTAAACAAAAACAAATAAAAAGAAGAGGAGACCTTGGTCAAGCTTAGGGGCTTAACGTGTCCTCCTCGGCTGATGATGGGTCCTTCCTCGGCACGGACAGAGTCAAGTCGAACCACAACCTGTCCAACTTCAGCGCCAGAACTTGCGTGTAAAGCTGGCTGTGGCACCCCCAGTAGGAGCGCAGGCCTTTTGTAGCTTGTACAGTGAAATCTCGGTATCACAACTTCAGGGGACCGTGGAAATGTGTTCGTTATTTTGAAGGGTCGTTATAGTGAAAGCTCAAAAATTAACTTTAAATGCTTATTTTTCACCGACCAAAACAACTTACCTTTACATCGATGGGTCCTTCAACTCGTTTTTCACAAGAAAAAAAAACAAATGTACAAGTAAACACCAAAAAATGCATGTTTACTTTAAAGAAGTCTCTTTTTTTCTTTTTTTTTACGCGAGCAGCACAAACTTTGCAGTGCGACGGCCTCCAGCTCATCCACATTCCTGAGGTGAGATTCGGTTCTTTGGTCACAACAGCCTGCTTTTTGCCTTCCAGTTGCCGAAGAATATCCATTGTCTCACTTAGCGAAAACTGCTTCCGCTTCTTCGTCGCAAGCAGAGATGAACTCATTTGTAGTATCACCGCAATACGAATGCCGACTTGCTTTGCAAACTTGATAAGTAATCATCGAAAAGAAAAAAACACGACTGAAAAAAACAAGGCCACGAAAGGAAAACCTGCAGCGTCACAGGAAAGTGGCTAGAATAGGAAAGTGTGATGAGCGGCAAGCAGCGCCTACGGAGCGCACTGAAGCCTCTGAGGAGGAGCCGCGTGGGGGCGCGCCCAGTCGTTTATACGTTGTTTGCGCGTTTCCGACAGTTTGGTCGAACGCGTTCATCCTTGTTTTTTTTTTTTTATTATTGCAGTGGCACTCTGACACCAATGCTTCTGTATGCACTTTCATGGCGTGAAAACAACGTCATTCCTTCGTGCGAGGGTGCACTACAGGCTACAAGTCAGTTAAATAGAAGCATGCGTTGTTAGACGTTCCAGAGGACGAAGCTTTGTTTGCACAGTGGCGGAGAGCGATGCCGCGTGCTGACAAGCCGCTCCAAGAAAACTCGGCTGTGTGCGAGCTACACTTCGACGAGAGGTACATCTTCCGGCACTTCGAGCACACTGTAAATGACGAAAAATTGTCCGCATTGAAACGGGTAGGTTCATAGGCGTGCTTGTCGTTCAGGAAAGGGGGGGCGGGGCGCAGGTTCACTGCAGGGCATTTCCTCCCTATCATCAGTGTATGCGGCAGATTTTACGCCTTCCTTTTAGATTACTAAAAGAGTGCCCCACCTAGTCAATGTATAGAACGAACTTAGCGCCCCCCTCCCAGGTGACTATAGGGGGGGGGGGCGCACCCCCTATGCCCCCCTCCCTCGCGCGGACGCCTATGCGAAGGCCTTTCGGAGAAGCTCTTAGCAATTGTAGACGCCCTTGAAATCACTTTTTCAAAGTGGTTTAGCTACAACGAGCTCCACAGCGACAGCTTGAAAAAGCTTGTTTCCTGCTTGAAAAAAAAACAAAAAAAAAACAATGTCACACTGGGCTGCGTACAACATGGTCCGAACCTCACCAATCAAGTGACCAAATTTTTTTCTGCTCATCCATTTGCGTTTTTACACAAAGGCATTCCACACGGAGCTAGTATCTTCCCGTGAGAAGAGGAAGTACCTGAAGCTCAGGTGCATCACCTAGGCTTGCAGCCCAAGAGAAACAATGTTTTGGGGGGCACTTGTGAACTATAAATTTTTTGATGGGGGGGGGGAATAGAAAAGATGCGCGACCAATTATTAAGAATACATTGTTGTAAACCGATAGCGAGTCACTACTCGGCAATACGTTGTATGACCAGTGTGCAGAAAATAAAAGGTTATCATCCAGATACTGCTCGTGATTCTCGTCTCAGAGTTTGACGTTACGAATAATGGGACTTTATTTACAGATTAGTTCTTGAAGAAATGATGATTCGCCGTGGAAGGTGTTGCAAGCAATGGCTTACAACCCGAGTTCATCGTTCCAATCTTTTACCACTTCACATCGATAAAATGTTTCAGTGCAGTCACGCGCTCACATATTTTCTCAGTTGACATTTGTGGCCATGCACGAGCAACAAAGTATATTTTAAATGTTTCACAGCGCCTGTGTGCGTGGTTGATTCCTGTCTCTGTGCAGCACATTACTGCCCTGGGTGACGTATGGATGGATGGATGAATGGATATGGCTATACCTTTTGATCGTGCAGTGGCTAGCACCACCAAGCCGTAATACTTAATGAACCAAAAACTAGATTTTTTTTTTTTCCCTTTAGAAAATGAGGTTGAGGATTCGTACTTTGCAGTTAGGGGTTTAATTTTCACTCGTGCCTTGAATTTAGCCACTAATCATATAATCTTTTAGTTAATTCTATCCGCTTGAAGTCTATTTTGCCCTCTCTGTCCCTAAACCCCAGTGCTTTGAAAAACTCTGGGCCATCATCCTGGACTATAGGGTGAAGCCCTTTACAGAACAATATCAAGTGTTCGGCAGTTTCTTCTTCCTCTCCACACGCACTGCATATCGTCTCTACCCCTTCGTATTTGGCCCGATATGTCTTGGTTCGCAATTATCCCGTCCTGGCCTCAAACAGTAGAGAACTACCCCGAGTATTATCATAGATATTTTCCTTGGCAATTTCCTGTTTAAAAGTTAGATAGATCGCTAGTGCGGAGTTCTTAATCATGCCGATTCTCCACATGTCGGTCTCCGATTCCTTCACTTTCTTCTTAACCGATAGTTCTTATTGGTTTGGCCACCTGCTGTTTTTTAAGTATTTACCAGTCAATTTTCTGGTGCGCTTCCTACGCGCAAACGTATGCCAGCGGCACCTCGCGGTTTCCTCCCAAGACGTTACGCGCTAGCCGGCGCGTTCATCACACTTCCCTATTCTAGCCACTGTAGCACTGCTCACAGCCGTCGTTTCTTTCGAAGAAAAAAAATGTGCTAAAAAAGAAAATTCCTCGCATTTAGTTTTCTGCTCTCTCGCTGTCTCAGGTTTCTCGCGCCCATGCTTCCTGCTCCGCAACTCTCACTCTGCGTCGCTGACCTTGCCCTCTCGTGTTGCCCTCTGCCCTCGTCTCTCCGCTCGCTTGTAAACCTGCAGCGTCGGCGTTTAAACAAAATGAAAGAAAAGAAAGTCGCTCTTTCGTTTTTGCTTTTTTTCCTCCCCATCGTCGCGCGTCTTCTGAGAAGCAAGGCGTCTGTTCGCTTTGTCGTCTGCTTGCGTACTGCTCCGGTGGTCACCACGAATTTCAGAACACAAGTTCGTAGTACTGGGGAGTCGTTAATATAATGTGGAACTAATTTAACGCTCATTATTCTGAAAAGTTCGGTATTCTGAAGTACGTAGTAGTAAAATAATTTTACACTAAAACTATTAGTAGTTGGTGCAAGATTTTTTAAAAGCTCGTTAATATGAAAAGTTCATTATTGTGGGGTTCGTTCTACCGAGATTTCCCTGTATTCGGCTTGCATGCCATAAAACTCGGCGTGGCAGCTGCGTCTACTGTCTCTGCTGATAAGCAATGGCATTGAAAGTGAGCTCTAAGAGCTTCCCTCTTAAAAGTACACTCTAACTGTAGCATGAAGCTACAACTTACATTAGTTGCATTACATTACATTAGTTTCTCTGCTTTTTAAAGCGAAACTGTATGTGACTCTGTCAGTTGTATGTTCATACATGGAAAACAACCTGACACTTTCTGCTAAAGAATTTTGGGGCATTTTGTAAGTGGCAGCCCTGGCAGCCTCTATTGAGTGGTGCATAAAGCTTATGCATCGTTACAAGTTGCGTTAGCTGTTCTGGGATTTAAATCAGGGCACCCAAACTCCAAAGTCTATACAAACATGTGTGCATAATGTGAATACCGTATTTACTAGCATAATTTGCAACCTCACATAATTTTCGCATTCCTAATATTTTGCCAGCTTAGCTAAAAAATCATATTTTGCGTTCCCTGCCTGAGCCAGCTCACCAGCACATGCCTGAAGAGACTTTGGACTTTTGGATGCTACAGACGGGCCCGCTGGCCACGCGCCTCTGTCGAGCGCAGTCAAACGGGCCACGAGGGCAAAGTCCCTTCTTCCGAGGACTTCCTTTAACTGGACTCCCTAGAACACCGTACCCAAACACTGAAACCTGTTGACGGATCGCTGGAAATGCTAGAGCGTTTGCCTCCCTTTATCTTCCCATCTCTACCACAGAAAGAATGCATGCTCACATAACGTGAGGGACAATTTTCTGCATTGGAGAGTTGCAAGGGCCTGCCACCCTGTCACGCCAACTGTTCCCCTCTTTCTCTGTGTCCGTGCTGCAACATAGGCTTGATTGATTTCAGTAGTTAAGGTTTCACAGACTGTCTATCGCATTTTAGGTGGCGAAGCTCCTTAGAGCGAGGGTCGTTCTCTCTGTTGTTGTTGTTGCGGCGGCGGCGGCGGTGGCGGTGGTGGTGGTGGTGGTGGTAGTATCAGTAGTAGTATGTAGCCAATTGTAGTTAGTTTTAAGAGGCGATACCTGTAGTTGATGAGATGTTATAAAAGAGATGTTATAAAACTGGAGGGTGGTACTTGGAGTTGATGACGAAAGAAGCAAGATGTTATAATAGGAATGATGTCACATATGGCGCGTGTCATTGATGGAAGGTAATCATTCAATTCAGTGTGGCGACTTACGCTAGTGGAAGTGTAATAAAATTCATTCGCTGTTAACGTGCGCTCGGAGTCGCCGGATAGACAAGGCTGCAGAGTGGTGAGTAAGCAAGTCGACGGCAACGCGCACTCTCAAACAGAATGTCGATGTGCGAGCCCGCGAGGCAGAAGCACGCCGTGAAGCTGCGTGATGCTGCCGCCAAGATCCTGCTGTACGAGAGCGGGAGGCCCAAGCGGCATGGCTCTTTAAATGATGATCGACTGGGCGAATCACACGAAAAATTCATGGTTTACCGATGATTCCCTCCAGAGCTTTGCCCACTCGTCATCATTCACCTCATAGATATGCTGTAATTTCTTGTTTTTACTAGCAGAAAAACTCCTTTGTACCATAAATATTTTTAATGCATGCTCACAGTGGTGTTACTAAGTTGTCCTAATTGGTGATAGGAGGTGGACTACGAGCACTGAATTAAGAAGGGGTGCTGACAGAGACTGGGGAGGGGAAATCGCCCTTACCCCCCTTGGATACGCCACTGCTTTTAAGTGGGTGATTTGAAATGCACTGACCTGATGCAGACCGCTAAAATGCGATTTATATTAAAATAAGCACTTTCTTGGTGCAAATGTAGCCCTACGAGGTTTTTGAACCGCCATTTCAGCAACCAACGTTGACCTAATATTTGCCTTTAGTGTCACTTTGACTCTTTCGCAACCGCGAGAAAAGGGACCACCTTTACTAGGTGAAAAAACATTTTTTTTGTGGCTAGATACTCATGCCTTACTTACATTCTTTAATACCAAACTGTAGCTAAAAGACTGTTCTGTCCAATAAAACTAATGTTGCATACATATTTATTACACACATTAGAAAAAAGTTTTTATAATGAGAAGTTTATATAGCAATTATACAATGAATGATTTAAGAGGGGGGATAACTTAAAAAATATAGAGGTTACAAATAATTCAAGATATAGAATTTGAATCTTCTTATATTGCAAAAAGGTTGCACAAGTTTCAAAAATTATTGTAACAAACTGTTCTTTCCACAGAAAAGAAAGTTAGTAAGGCTGCAGCAATGTATGGGCTATGTAGTGCAGCTTGCCGTCGTGAACGGGGTCTGTGCTTTGGGTCCATGGCACTTAGAAAAGCAAGGAACGAAAAAAATACGGCTTCTGGGCATAATTTACAAATAAATGAGGCCTGAAAATAGCTCTGAGGAATTCCATTAGAGATGAAAGTGAGGCAACTCAACGTTTCTCATGTAGATGAAGATTCCAATGCACTTCACTTGATCAGGACTGAACTTCCTTCACAAATCAGCTCTTTCCGCGTATGTCTGCCTCTCCAAAATATGCATCCACGCATATTTGTTCGTGCAATCACAGACCATGCTGGTCAGCTGCACAGTGAAAGACAGCTGGAAGGAATTGGTGATCTGGACAAAGCGGCATGCCCTTCTCTGAAGCGCACCTCAGACTTTGACCCCCAGGTTTCACCTTGAAAGAAACTGCACACGCTTGATAGACGCTGGCAAGGAATCATATCCGTAGAAAGTTGAAACCCTCAAAATGAGTAAAATTGCTCTGAGTATACATTCCGCTGCCCTTAACTACTAATTAGACAACAAAATGTGTGCCACACATACAGCCGACACTCGCTCAATGTTACAGCTTGACTTGACGCATTCTTGTTATTGGTGCTAAAATTTGATGTGTCAACATTTTCTCCAGGCTCACTGCTGCTGATTTCATCCTCAAAATCTGCTGTTCATGCGATCGATTCGCAAGAAACACGACCTTTAGGAACATCCACATGAGGAAACGACGACATGATCGGTGCACTTACACAAGAACCCGTAACTTTAGGTGGCGAGAGAAAACTTCCCTAAAACAAAAAAACAACCAAAACATAGCAGATCTTATTGCATGTTTCCTACTTTCTCACCGAGGTGGCGTTAGGTGCCAAATATCACGACCGTGGAAAAATTTAAACTTGAAATGCATCGTTCAAATTGATCGATTTGAATAGGCACGGTGGCATTATGAATTTCATGTGGTGGAAGGAGCGCATGTCCTTAGCACATGTAGTATGCATGGCAGAATCTTGGAATCACACTAGTTGTCAAAACACGTGATTTGCATTATGAGCGAGTGGTTTTACTAGAGTGCAAAGTGTGCAGCTACACAAGTGCACTTTACAGACAAATAGCAGGTATTTCGCCAAGTAGAAAAAGCACGATCTATGAGGTAGTGGACACTGAGCAACTGTACAGTTGTCAGCAAGATTAACGCAAACGCTCCACAGCGTGTCCTTAAACAGTTTGATGTTAGCTGCGCAGCTTTGGGTTCTCTTGCCAAGAAGTTACCCTATATGTCAGCATACCATCCAAGCATAACAAGGCATTATCTCAATAACAGCACCCAGCGCTTCATCGCTAACATCAGTCAAAGTAGTCCAGGTCGCACGTCGGAATGTTCATGGTCATCTTGATGACAACAGCACATTCCGTAGACAGTCTAGGATGCTTTGAAATGGCCAATGATACATGCACAAACGTTCCTTTGCTTGCGGCATAGTTAATGGAAATTTGCACGGAGTGCAACTGCCCTACGACATTCTGCTCTTGAAGGTGAAGCTCAAGCATCATCCAAGTACTTTTTTTTTCGATTTTGCATGTCTACATTGCATTTTTGTACATACTGCCTCCATGTCGGATGCTCTAATGAGGTCAAACTGTTGTACGCACCATAAAGATCAGGATTAGGCCTGATGTGCTTCTCAAGGTAGGACGGGCCCGAGAGCTGGGGCATGGCTGACCACAGCAGCCGCCTGAGCACTTCATCGGTGGTCACATCGAAGAGGCTCTGGTAGAAGCTGAACTTCCAGAATGATGGTGTGCCGACGCCTCTCTCTCTGTTGAGCAGCTGCAACTGTCGGCATTATGAGGGGACACTAAAGTAAAGCAATTACTTGGTTCAGAAGTGAGAACTCTAATTTCGTAGGTTTCACTAAACGGAAAAAATAAAGGTCGAATTTTCACTTTTAAATTTTGCGCTGAAACCTCCACGCGTGAAGTCAGTAATCTGAAATGTATTTCGAGATTACTAACTTTCATAACATGGGTGCAACGAATATTTTTAGAACTTGCTATGTTAGGTCTATAAAACCTATAATTGACAATGTACTTCATTTGTACTAATACCTAAAAAATCGTTTTTCCTCTTTTGAGGCAAGGCACTTAAAAAAATTTTTATTTCTTAGTCAATCCTGACGAAACTAGGTGAGGGAATGTGTATTTGCACGCTGATTTCAGATATTTAAATATTTTTCGATGATAATGTGTAGTTTATAAAATACAAGTATGTTATGCGCCTTTGGGGGGCAAGTTTTTTTGTAAACAGAGTCACAAAACAAATCAGCATATCACAATGATCTAAAATCAGAACTATGTACAGTGCAACAAAAATGGACGTTCTAAACCCATTAGAAGTTACTTTTACGAGTCTTCAGAAATATCAGGTTCTTTTAATAAATCACCGATCCCGCCTGTCGGGGCTGAATCTTGAGCAGAGAAGAAGCACATGCTTCTTTCGAAGTAAGATGAGAGAAGAGCGCCGACTCCGCTCGAAGGGACACATTTTGCAATGCCTGATGTTTGGGTTGTCTGCGATGCCATTACTTAAAAATGAAGTTTAATAACCGGCTGCTGTTTTGGAATTTAAACCTTAGACAACAGAACTGCGTTTCATGTAAATATGTGAGATTCTGAACGGGCATGTTGTATGAAATGTAACGTGTTGTATAGTTTATCGAAGTATGGCAAAAGTTGTAAGATGTGTGGTGTAGATAATGGGTTTATTCTTTGTGTGATTTTTCACGTACAGTAGGTGTTTTAGTTTAGGGCAGTGTTGTGGACTGCATACTGTGTGTAGTGTGGTGAAACACACACTCACCGAGAACTTTCTTTAATATAAAAAAAGCTTAAAGCTTTTTTAAAGGGTGGCTCATGTGATGTGTGAAGCGCACATTTGAAAAGTTCGCCACTCGGTCAACATGACTCAGAAAGAAAGAGGACGACCGCACGCTGCAGCAGCACGAGTAAGCATGACCAAACTGATCCAATGAAGATCCTCCATGGGATTTCGGAAGCCAGAAGCACTGTGGCTGAAACATGGCTGAGACATAGTGGAGGCAAGCAGGCTACCAGGGCAGGGGAGTGGTGGCCTGTGGCAAGGCCGCTGCAGGCTCCCACCTGAACGTGTTCCTGAGCGTTAACACTGTCTGGCGTTGGCCAGGCATTTCGTCTGACATCGGCCAGTCATTTTTTACAGCGTTGGCTAGGCACTTCCCGACCGTGTCCAGTTCCATGTCCAAGCGTTTGAGAAAGAATGAGGAAGGGTGCCGGCCTTGGATCGACCGACGCTACCTGTCCTTCGACCAACACCGTGACCCTGACTGCGTTTCGCCACATCACACCTCGTTGTCTGTACGTTGTGGTGTACACAAATCCCAAAGGAGTACGGCCACTAGCGTGGGTCCGGTCTTAGCGAGCCGCAAAGCACGCGTTAACTGTTGCCGTGGCGAGAACACGATACTGCTCAAAGTCGCAACACATTATTGTCTGTGGCAACACTTTATTGTCTGTGGCAACACCAAATGCAGTACAGCCCGTTGCGAAGACGCGGCGGGAAAGCAAATAGGCTTATCCACGCCACAGGCATAAAAGTACTACACAGGGTGCCACGAGCATGTCTCCGCGGTAAAGGTTATCCACAGAGACACCGGGACCAAGGCCCGGTTGCTCGAGCGAGGGCAAAGGCACTCGCGTTGGCTTCGGAGGGAGACGCGTCGGCGTAGCTAGGACACGCACTAGGACACCGTACCACTCTTCAGCCTAGCGTTCGGAAAGGGGGGGGGGGGGCGACATAAGGTAAGCGTTCACCGCGGGCGCAAGGCGCTTTTGGCGAAGTCCGAACAAGCCCCACAGGGAGCTGAGGGACGGAAAAGAAAAGCGTGCTTACCCCATGTCGTCCCCGGAGAGGGCTCTGCCCGCTCCCGACGCAGCGCGCGAAAACCTCTCGGGGACTCTGCGCACGGCGCCACCGTCAACGTCCGCTACCGGGTGAGGGGGATAAACGTCACTCCGCTCTCCCAGCGCGGCAGACAGCGGAGAAGGGGAGACATGTCGGGATATGAGAACGGCAGAAAAGGCGGCAAAGCCCACACAAAGGACGTGGGCTAGCGTACATTCCTACATCCCCCTCTCCTAAATTTGCCCTTTAGCGGTCTGCAAAAGGCAGCCGGACGTCACCCATGCAGTTTAAATGACACTGCTATGAGCGACAGCTAACCTCAGTCCAGCCCTGTAACTGCTGAAAAAAAAAAATGATGACAAAGGAGAAACAAAAACATTAAAAACAAAATAAACACATGACACTATAAAAATAATTGCGGAAGGGAGCACTGGAAAGTACTAGTAGCGTTCATGGCGCTGAAGTGGGATAGCGTTTACCGCGTGGAGGGGCGGAGGAGCGCGAGAACGTCCGCTGGTTGCGAGGCCCGAGTGCGAGGCCAGAGGCACGGAAGGGGGCTCTCTGATGGCTCGTTGCTGCTCTTGATTAGCCGCAAGTCCGACGAACGCCGCTTAGGTTGTGGTTCGGAGGCCCCGCATTTCTGGCTCGATGACGGAGCTGGGGCATTGCGGGGAGCCGGGCATCTCCAGTGATCAGGGAGGCCGAACCAGAATTGGCTGCGAGGCACCCTGGCAATGGCCAGCAGCATATAGCTGCTTTCAGCTGGCCTCGCACAGGAGCCATGTGGGAAATGCAGCAGGGCTTCTTCGACGATGGCCGAGAGCAGAGCACAGCCAGACTGTCTGACGTCAGTAGGTCAATGCCCCCCAGTACCTACAGTGTCCACGTCGATGGGGCGAAGCCACGATGCGTACTCTTCACGGGCACGCACTGAAGCGTCACGCACTTACACACACCGCCGACAGCTGCGCGAGCGTAGGCGCAAAGCGTCCTTCGTCGCTCTCTCCTGGCATAAGCACGAACACTCAAGGTCACACACACCTCCCTTCGCGGTAGACGAAATAAACACGGGAAAAAAAGTAAAACAGAGCAAAATGACATTCAATATCTGTCCAAAGGAAGATGAAAACAAAATACAAATAACACTTAATATTATACAAAAGAAACATAAAATACCCATGAACACTAAAAAAAAAAAAACTCTGGCAGCAGACTGGGCGGGGTCAACTTTACGAGAAAGGCCGTAAAGAAGCTGACCCATACTAAAGCTAGACAGTAAACTGAGGACCTCCGGTTGTGGAGAAGTCCGCCGTTCGGCGCGAAATCACGAAGGCGACCGCTTCCTCAAATTATACCGCTGCGAGTTCCGAATGCGGTCCGCCACTCTGGGTGTGCCTGTTGCTTGCGCGAGCTCGTCAGACCTTGACAAAGGGCTTCAGGTCTCCGATGTGGGCACGGCTAAGTTTTCCCAAAGGGGTTCTTTCAGCTAGTACGCACCACGGACACTCACTGACAATCGGTTCATAAGACCGGGCGGCTTGCCAACCCTTGGCTCAACTATTTGTCAGACGTGGCAGGCACGGAAAAGCGATAAAAGCCACGCTTCGTGCCGGGCCAGGTCACCATGTTGCTCGGTTTGCATAAAACTTTGAAGCCACTCAGGTGACCGGCCTTGGTTTCGTCGTGAGAGGATCGCAACAGTGTGGCTCTCAGACTTTTTTGGGGCATAGCCACCGTAACGGATCGATGAACTTGTCATCCGCGGCTATATAGTTCAGCAGGAGCCCATCATGGTCCAGCAAAATGAATCCGCCGGGGACTCAGCGACACACGCTGTTTCAGCCCCTTAATCGCGCCCGCCGCAGAAAAAGCAGCGTAACGACGCTCCGCGCTTCTTCAAGACAGTTTATAGGCGCCCGCCGCCGAACAAGCAGCGTATAGGGCGCTTCGTCCCTCCAAGACTCGAAACGAATCACTTTGCTGAGTTTTCAGTAGCACTTCACTGCCGAAAGCGATTCCCATTCTCCCAAATGGGGGAGTCTTGTGTCGCGCCCACTCAGCACCGCAGCAACCGCCACGTGCACGGCGTCACTGGTTCGCTCTCGGCACGGTGGCCTTCAGAAAGTTCCCTCGCTCGGCCGCCATGCAGTGCGCCGTTTACCTAAATAGCAGCCAAGGTCATCCTCATGGGGACTCCCCCTTTTCTCCGCTGTTTCGTCCCCGACACTTGCAAGTGCTATGGCACCGCAAGCGGCCGTCACGCCGAAATCCAGGTTCTCGGCAGACAACAGGGGGCACGAGATAGCGCGTCAGCTAGCACGTAGGATGTGTATTCACCACAAAAGGGGGTGACGACACGGATGGGCGCCGAAGTGTGCCCGTCGATAGAGGCAGTGGCCTCTTTGTGCCACGCGGCATGCCACGAAGCAGGCATGTTGCGACGAGCCCGAATCGCGCAGGCGAACTGACTCGCTAAGAGCAGTCAAAAGCTGGAGCTTTTGATACCGCGTTGGGCGCCAGTGTAGTGACGCATCCCGAAGGAGTACGGCCACTAGCGTGGGTCCGGTCTTAGCGAGCCGCAGGGCACGCGTTAATCGTCGCCGTGGCGAGAACACGATACTGCTCAAAGTCGCAACACTTTATTGTCTGTGGCAACACTAAACGCAATACAGCCCGTTGCGAAGGCGCGGCGGGAAAGGTACGATAGCAAATAGGTTTATCCACGCCACAGGCATAAATGTACTACACAGGGTGCCCGAGCACGTTTCCGCGGTAAAGGTGATCCACGGATACACCGGGACCAAGGCCCGGTTGCTCGAGCGAGGGCAAAGGCGCTCGCGTTGGCTTCGGAGGGAGACGGGTCGGCGTAGCTAGGCCACGCACTAGGACACCGTAGC